AAGGAGGCGCCGCCCATGGAGAAGCCCGAGGTGGTGAAGACCCACCTGAGGGACATGATCATCCTGCCGGAGATGGTGGGCAGCATGGTGGGCGTCTACAACGGCAAGACCTTCAACCAGGTGGAGATCAAGGTGAGCCGGGACGGGGGGACGGGTCCTGCCCCGAGCCGAGTGCCTGGAGTGGGCACCTTGAACCGGGGGGGAATCCCTGTCGGAGGGGTCCAGGCTGCTCCTTGGAGCCCAGAGGGACCATCCCTGGGAGGGGCAGCTCCCAGAGGGGGCTCAGGGCCTCGGTGGGGTTCTGAAGCACCGAAATCCTGCAGCTTTTGTGTCTGTGCTGGGCCCTGGCTGTGCTCGGCCCAGCTCCCTGCTTTGGGATGAAACAGATCCCACCGGCACCATTTCCAGAGGAAACAGATCCCTTGATCCTTCCCAGGAGTGGAATAACCCGCAGGGGGGTGTCACCTGATACCACCGGTGGGGTTAAATGGCACTTTCTGCTCCTGCCTGGCCTTCAGTCCCACCTGGAAGGGCACAGGGCTCCCGTGGGAGGGGCAGTGCTGGGGGGGATCCTGCTGAGCCCCTCTGGCTCCTCGTCCAGCCTCCATTTCCCCCTGGGTGGGAGAAGCCTGGCTGGAATAACCGGCTGTGCCAGCACTGGGATGGAAAAGGGGATGGGCAGGGGGGTGTCCCTGTGCCCCCTGCTCCCCCCAGCACGGATCTCTCCCCTGCAGCCCGAGATGATCGGCCACTACCTGGGCGAGTTCTCCATCACGTACAAGCCGGTGAAGCACGGCCGGCCCGGCATCGGGGCCACCCACTCCTCCCGCTTCATCCCGCTCAAGTGAATAAAGACCTTCCTCCTGGACCCTCTGTCTCCTGCCTCGCTGTTCCCAGGGCAGGGGGGAGGCTGGGCTGGGCAAAACTCCCCACGCTCCACCGAGATCTGGTGTTTTCCTGAAGGTTCTTCCCGGGTTTTTGGCACCGCTTTCCATCAGCACTCGCCTTCACGTGGGTTTAGGGAGTGAATGAAACTCCCTGCTCTCTGCTGGGAAGTGGGGAATGGCACTTCCATATTTATGGCATTTCCTTCTGTTTAGCTTTATTTATAGTTTGTAGAAGGCTGGAGTCGCCCTGGGAATGTGGAGACACCGAGTTGAGGGGCAGTGGGGTGGGTTCCCCGGGCCTTGGCACCAGCCCTGCTCCTCGGGAAGCTGCCAGGGACCCATCATGGGATGCCAGGACCCCTAATAATGATTTTCTCATCTCGAATTTGGGATTCCAGAGGACTTTTGGTGTCTAGGATGGGAGTGGTGGGAGCTGGGGAGTGAACTGGGGGTTTGCAGCTCAGGCTCAGAGAGGGGGATGTGTTTTGGGGGAGAAGCTCTTTCTGGAATGGTCCAAGGGAGATGATCCTGTCAGGCCCAGGAGCTGCCGCAGAGCTTGGGCTGAGCCCAAGGAACCCAAGAGAGCCAAGTGCCGCAGTGAAGCCACCAGGGAAGGAGCTGTTTGTCCCCAGGGTGGTCCTGGCTGGTCCCTGCCACTGGCCAAGGTCCTGTGGGGGCACCTCAGGGGTCCCTCCAGGCCCAGCTGGGGCCCTTTGGGTCTCCAAGTTTGTCCTTCAGGGAAGGTCCCCTGTCACTGGGTCCCTTTTGTGTGACCTTGAGGGTCCTTGTGCCGACCCCAC